AAAACTTCATTTTATATTTCAAAACTATTCAAGATTTTTCGACGATAAAATATCCGATAAAGATAAATTTTTTGGTTTGGATGAAAAAAAAAAAAATGATCGTTTACGATTGCTTGCTGTTACAAAAAACAAAAAACAAAAAAGGCGATTAATCCGATATAGCAATTTTTTTCTAATTTTATGCAAAAAAAAAAAGAAAATTGAAAAATAGCAAGTGAGATTGATGAAGAAAACGCATATCCGAATATGTTAATGTATGGATTCAGTTCAGTAATACGGAAAGGAATGACAAATGCGCAAATGCGCAATAGGGAAAATATATGTAAAAAATATTTATCAGTTCATTGAATAGTAAAATTAACTAGATTTAATTTGTATTTTAAAATTAAAACTAGGATAAGCTACAATGGGATGATAGTCATTGGTAATTAATTGCTGCGAAAAAAAAAGCAAAAATTTAGTTAAGACAATTAAAAAATCATTTTATAGGTATCTACTTAAAAATTTCATAAAATAATAGCTAATAGAATCAATTAAAGACTTGAGAACAAAAAAAAAAAATTTTTTTTTGTTTATTAAACAGTTTTGCTTTTATTTCGATAATCATAATCGATAATCAGTCAATATTAATAAAATTAGGATGAAATTATTTAAATTATCAAAAAATTTTCAGATAATAGAGAGGCAATGAAATAGAAAATAACTTGAATGATTTATATTTATAATTCTTATAAATTCAATTCATTCAATTAATTCCTTACAATTTTTAATTTTGATGCTGTAGCAGATTTATCAAACTGAACTGATAACATCAGTAATTTGAATAACAGTGATAATTATATTTCTCAGAAGGTTTTACAATGTTTCCTTATTAAATAAAGAAACGAAAAAATTGTTTCTTTATTAAATTCTTTTAAAATTGATGGGGAATATTTTTTTTTAGATAAAAATTTTAATATTTGTATTCCTCAACTAATTCTAATTAACTACTAAATAATTCATAAATAATTAACATGTGTTGGATAATTTATTGATTTCTTTGTATAGTTTCAATCTCATCCAAAAAATCTTCCCTGAAATTGAAAATTTGCATATATGTATAGACAAATTTAATTTTGAATAAAATTTGTTTATTCAAATTTTGAATAATTTGAATTGTAATTTTGAATAAAAATATTCAAAGAATGAAAATTTCATACTGTAAAAATTTGTTTTTAAAAATTTGCAGAAAGTTATATTTAATTTAATGTCTATCTCTATGTCATATGTAATTTCTTATTGATTTATTGCTTGTAAACTTACTGATAAATTTACTGTTTCACATTTGAAAGCATTTCGAGAGATATCTAAAATACCGAAAAGGTGACTTTTTGTAAAAGTTCAAAGATTGCATTCTTTCAAATTCCTATCAAAAGTGACTCAGAAATTTTTTTGTTATTAATTCATAAAACAATGAAAATGGCATTTTAAATGTCATTTCTTGAAATTAATGGATGGAAAAGATGTCAAAATTAATTGAATATAAATGTTATGTTTATTTTTTAAATTAAATTAACCAGAAACAATTAACTCTTTTCTTTTTTGATATTTAATTAAATTGCAACAGTTTTTATAATTATTAAATTTTGTTTCTTTATAATTGAAATGTTAAATTCAAAAAAGTAAACGAAAAAAAATTTGAACAAATTTATTCTGACACATTGTAACTAACAAAATAATGATAATTGCATAGGAGAAGACAGAGTATTTGTAGTTTTTCAATGAATATACTATAAGGACTATTTGCGCCAAATGAATATTGTATGGGAAAGTTTTTTGCGCCAGTAAATACTATAAGACTATTTGTAACGTTTGTATAACATTTTCATTTGCAAATTCAATAGATAATTTGATCGTATTATGTAATAGTATCAAAGAATATGGTTATTTCATTTATTAGTATTCATATTTCGAATGATTTTATGTATTAGTATTCATATTTCGAATGATTTTATGTATTAGTATTCATATTTCGAATGATTTCAATTTTTAAAAGGTTAAAAAATTTTTAATTCTATATAATTTTCAATTTTATCAGTGTAAGTTCAGAAAAAAAAAATTTTTTTTTGGCTATGAGAAAACTTTAAAATTTGTCTTGAAATTTCGATAAATTTTTGGAAGATTTAATATTAATAAATCATCGAATTGAAGAAATATTTTGATAATTTACGAGAACCAAAAAAAAAGATAGAGAGAGAGAGAGAGAGAGAGAAAGAGTAAAAAAGAAAAAGAAAAAGAGGAAGTAGAATCAAAATTATTTTTTTTGTTGACAAAATTATTTAATTTAAATGAAATTGATCAGAAATTTGATTCTTTTCTTTTTTTTTTTAAATTCTAGCTTACTTTTTTCAACCCTTTTTTTTTCTTCTCTCAAACTATTCAATAAGAGAGAAAGAGAATGAGAGAGAGAGGGAGAGAGAGAGAGGAGGGAAGGAAGGAA